ATAATCTTATACCTGATATTTAAGTATTTTAATCTAGCTATAATCCGATATTTGACATATTTCACCAAAATCTTTAGCCTATTGGCCTATTATTATTATTATAAAAAATCTGATTATAGTCTTCATCATATCAGCCTGCTATCACCCTTTCTGATTATATACAGATATTTGAATAATATTTTTAATTTTGACCAGTATATGCTATACTATATCCTAATCTAGCTTGCATATACCCTTGTTCAATGTTCTTACAAACCCAGTTCCTACTGTGGTCTTCTACCAAGTTAGTCATCCATGCCTCCAGATATTATACAAAGTAGATCCTCCCAAATCTGTTGCTTAGTGTTGCCTGCTTTGCCGCCAGATATCACATGAGACAGATCCTCCCAAATCTAGTTAGCTGCCAAGCCAAGTTGGTGTTGCTATATGACCTCATGTAACAAACTTACTCATACCTGTTTTATTGATCCTTCTGTACTCAGGACTTACTCGTATCTATTTTACTAATCTTTTCGTACGCAGATTTTCTTTTCTGGATCAGACGTTAATTAGTATGACTGTTAAAATTTGTACTACTTCATCTAACTCGAGATTTCTACTATGCAGGTCACCTGCTCGTAAATTCTATCAAGATTTATTTGTATAACATTATGTCTCACTGAATGTCCCATCACACTTCCAATATCTGATTAGTATTGGTGCAATGTGATTTACAGGGTTACAACCCCAGAAATGAGCAGAGTTTATTATAAGTTGAATACAGATATCTAGGTAATTATTCAATTCCGTATATAGTAAAATTTGAAGCCTAGACCTCTTGTATGGCAGTTCAGCAACCTAACCACTATACTAAGATCGCCAGATCTGAATTATAAGATAAGTTAAAATATTTAGAATTGTTATTAACACTATTTATATATTTTATTAAATTATTTGAATCAGATACTCTATTATTATCATATATTTATACAGAGTAGAATAATAAAAAGAAAAAGTAAAAAAACAAGATATTAGTACTATTAATAAAGAAAAAAAACAAAGTAGAAGCTTTTTCAGCAATTAAAGAACTTAACTTAAACTTGCAACATAAAAAAGATATTTCTAATTTAATTATTACAAAATTTGATTTATTTTTTATCTAGCTTTAGTACTTACTAATTTGTTAGATTCAAAGTAAGTATAATATAATATAAGTATTAGTAAGAAAAAATAAGAGTTCTTTAATTTTACTCTTTTAAATAATTTAATTTCATAATTATATATATAATTAGACTTATTCAATTATTTAATTTGTTAGTTAAAATTATATTATATTAGTATTATACTAACTATATATTTAGAAATTACTACATAGTATTGCAAGTTACAAACTATATAATAATTTTATATACATAATTAATAAAATATTAATATGAATTTTCATTATAAATTTTATATAATTGTATAAGCCTATATACAATTATAATTATAATAAAACTCTTATATATAATCATAATTATAGTAAAACTCTATATATAATCATAATTATAGTAAAGCTCTTATATACAATTATTTAGAGATCAATTAAACTATTACTCTTTAAGAATAAATATCTAAATTTAAAATTTTTTTTTCACTAATATTGATATTGAAATATATTTATTTTTAATAATAGACAATATTATTATTTATTTTTCTAATAATTTATTTTTTAATAGCTTTATTATTAATTTAATTTAGAGTTAGTATATAAAGTGTTAAGAAAAAAATATTAAAATTAAAATTTAATTTATTTTCTAATAGTTTTTATGGAAAAGCCTTAAAACCAGATGATTTAAGAAATATTGTTGTTCTATATTTAAATAAAATTATTCATCCACTACTCTACACATGTAAGTTATATAAGAAAATTAATTTATTAAATTTAAATAAGTATTTAATTTTTAATTAGTTATATGAAACAATTCAAAAATATATTGCAAAATCTGATGAATTTTCAAATTCTTTACTTTGAGAATCAATTAAATATTCTAATTCTATTAGTTGGTGGAAATCAAATGTTGAGCATAAATATCCTTTGTTGTAAAATTGGCAGTTAAATTATTATCAATACCAACTTTGTCAGCTTCAGCTGAACGTAATTGGTCGCAGTTTGGATTTATTCATAGCAAATTGCGTGCTAGATTAGGTAATAATAAAGTTAAAAAATTAGTTGCTGTATCTCAAAATCTTAGAATTCAAAAAAATATTGTAGAGGATAGTTGGTTTGACGAATTACAATAAAAAATTTAATTTTAATATTAAAGTTTGTTATATTAGAAAATTATTATATTATTTAATAATATATTTTTTAATAAAAAAACATATAAAATGTTTTAAAACACAAAAAGAATAAAAAACATGTTTTTTGCCATCTCTAGTATTAGATCCTTTTGGGAATCTGTCTTTCGAGAGGTAGAACTGGTTAATAGATACGTAAAAACCTTTATTAATATTACACGTGAAACTTTTATTCTGTATTATTAGCAAACAAGTTTGCAGTATTGTCATAGTTAACAAAAATTTGAGTATATCCTAGCTCACTAAAGTGCTATATAGTGTGATATGTTAGTAATTGTCTCTCGATATTCACCAACACTAATCTACTAAACCTACGGGCGGCTTAGTCGTTAGAGGCGTGTTAGATTTGGCGAGTGGTTTGGATGTCCGTAGGTAAGTCTTCTTTTGTTATGTCTTGGGTTTCTTCTGTACCTATTCTTTACTAATTCTATCCTCAATTACCACACTACTTCGGGTAATTGGATC